CCATTTTAGATCATGGGGAGGGTGAGCTGGATTACCAGATAGTCAAGACTGTTGCGGGGTGGAGAGGGGGTGGAAAGTGTCGGCAGAATCTTAAACTTATCAAACATTCAGGGACAGAAAAGAGTCCGAATGAAATGCTTTTTGTTTCTCAGAGTCTGAGACCAGCAGACCTTGTGCTAATGAAGTGAGCTGGAAGTTTATGCTCAGCAGGCCTCCTGTTGTATGAACAGCACTCAGCCAGATCTTGGGATGTATTTAGGAGAATGTGTTTTAAAAAGGCTCCGTGTTACTAGAGAGCAAGAGAGAGCTATTAATCTTTATCTGGGGACAGGCTGCTTGAGACATGTAAACACATGTGGCTATCACTGTTGCCATCCCTGACTGTTCCAAAATCATGAGTCAGGCCCCTGAGATCACAAGATTCACTTAAAAATCATAAGCTTTGAAATTTAATAAATGGATGGTGGCTTTTTTTGTTTGATTTCTGGTTTTGGAGTGGTCATAGTTTTTCCAACACTGAGAGCTGGACACTTACTTTTTTCTAAATGAAATCTGAGATCCTCAAAATTGCTTGATTCCCAGAATGAGACTTAAGAAAAACTTCAGATGTCATAAAGTTTACAACAAAATCATGAGAGTTGCTGTAAGTGCACCAAATCCCTCAGCTCCATGACCCCTATTCCTCTTCCCATTTCTCATTCCTCTGACCAGAGGCGTACCTGGGCAGTGCTCAGGACAGTATCAGTGGCTGGGCTGCTAATGGTGGTGACTAGGCTAGCTGCTGTTTTTGCACTCCCCCAAACTTGGTGCCATGATCTGGTGCCCACCTTAGTTATGCTGCTACCAGTGACTTTCTACCCTGACCTGGCACTCAGCTCTAAAAACTTCCCTGCCATCTCCATAAAGGTGGGCTCCCACTTGCTGTCTCTTCTGACTTCCCCTCAGCTCCCGTCCCAAACACAATTTCAGTCCGCTCCCCACCTTTTCACCATGATATCAGCAATAAGCACAACACTGGATTAACTCTTTGCCTGCAGTGGTCCATCCTTATGTCATAATTAACACTGTGTCCTTTCCAGAAACCCAGAATACAACTGTGCAAAGAAACCGTGAAGTGTCAGCCAGGATAAGAGTTGCAAGTTTGTAATCGAATAGTGTGTTGCATGTGAAAGTTTCCCGTTAGGTGGTGGCTTGTGACAATGTGGAGTTTGACTATCAGTGGGAACATGTGGACAATCTTAAGAATCGGTTAAGAGGTGTCTCATAATTTGGTATTTCCTTGTTAATTAGGTTTTGAATGATGGGGATCTTATGCTTAAGCCCCTTTTAAACAAAGTTTATGGTCATTAGAAATGGGTCCAATTTAATTCTCTCTGCCCCAATAACCCTGGATATAGTTTGAGCCTAGATTTGAATTCTACAATAATCTGATATTTATAATTGGCTGGACCAAAGTCTTTGGTTTGAACCTCCATGAACCTTGAGGTTGCTTAAAACCTAGACCACAACCCAGATACTGCGGCTTGGGCTTAGCTTTGATGAAAATGTGATTGTCTTTGGCTCCTGCCCAGGTTGCTTGGCAACAACTGTGGTTTTGCATGTAAGTTAGGTGGTGTCCATTGCTTTCCCCACAGCCCAAAGTATTTTCAGGGTTTCATATCTGCTCCCTACACAGCATGAGAGCCAGCCACACAGCAGACAAGGCACCAGGATTGCAGCGGAGACTGACATCGTGCCCATTAGGCCTGTGCGAAGCGGCTACTATTTGCTTCAGATTCGGATTTGTCCGATTCAGGGGACAGTGAATTGAGTCAGTGATTCGAATCACTGTCCAGAATCGATTCGGCTGAATCTGATTCGGAGATTCGGCTGCTGCCAAATCTTCGAATCAGCCAGGCCTATCCCCACAGCCCGGCAATGGCTGCCCCATTGCCCCAGCTCTTTGAGAACCCCCCCCAACTCAGCGCATGCTGCCGGGGGGCAATCCCTGCTGCCCTCCACTTCCCCACGCTGCATGGGGGGCTCTTCATGAACCCCCTGACCCCCCTCGCTCCCCCA